TTTCTTTCAAAGCAGCTTGAACTTCTTCCTTCATCACCACAGGCTCTTGCTCATATGTTATTTCATTAAACTCTTCTGTGTCTGCCAGTTCGTTTTGATATAGTGACTCAGTATATTCTTTCCATCTTCTTTTAATATTTCCTGGACATAAGTATACACATCATTTGTATCCTGCTTCTGATTTGCCTCAGGTAGATTCCTAGTTGAATAGTTGAGGAAATCCTAAAGTGCCTTCCAGAGTGGTTATAATATTTTACTTTCCAGAGTGGTTGTACCATTTCACAATCCCACCAGCAGTGCAATCGCGTTCCAATCTATGCATCCTCTCCAACATTTATTGTTTGCTGTGTTAAATGTTGCTACTGCTGCTGGTGTGAGATGGTATCTCATAGTTGTTTTGATTTGCATCTGGCTTATTGCTAGAATTTTGAACATTACCTCATGTGTTCCTGGGCCATCCGAATGTCCTCCTTTGTGAAGTCTTTATATGTCTTTCTCCCATTTTGTGATTGAGTTATCAGTCTCTTTCTTGTGGAGGTCCTGTAGTATTCTAAAAACTTTAGTTATGAGACCTTTGTCAGAAATGCTGTTGCCAAATGTGTTTTCCTATTCTGTGGGCTTTCCTTTTACTCTGTTGGAGAAAATTTTTATGCACACAGTGATTTCATTTTAAGAAATTCCCTTTTATCTTTCTTCTTTTTGTATTAACAGTAAGATTTATTGAGCTGTGTCTTAATACATATGCTGGTGCTTGCCCATGGGGCTCTTTATGTAAAAAGCCAGAATTATACCAATTCTTCTTTAGCAGTGAAAGCAGAAAGTTGACAGCCAGATGGATGTTGTAAATGAGCTCATTATCTTTCATCTTTACATGGTCAACAGACACTGCCAGATACAGGACCTCTTTCATTTGGAATCTGATGGTGTACTTCACCTAATCTACTTTTGCCACCATATTTTTATTGTGAGTCAACAGAGAAGGGAACTTGCCAGCCTTATTCACGTCTGGACCTAGGATTATTGGAATCTGCTTGATCAGGGATTCAGAGGCCAGAAAGGCATCATGTCTCTCTCTCTCTCTCTCTCTCTTTTTTTAAATAAAATGCTTATTTTATAGTAGTTTACTTAAAAAGTTTCTATACATTGTTTTTCACACCAGATCCTTTCAGTTTCCTTTACCTATCCCTCCTTCCACACATCAAACAGCATCATACTTCTTGGCCAGCTTTTTGAGCAGTTTCTTATTCTTGTTGAGTTTGTTCAGCACTTTGAAGTCCATTTGGGGGATATTCATTCACAACCTTGGCTTCTTCACAGTGCTGCCGATCCCCAAGAATACACACCGGAGAACTTGGGTTGTGAGATGGACTTAAGCCTGATGGTCCCCGAGAAGCATTTGTCCTTCTGAGGGTCATAGTTCTTCAAACTGAAGTGCAGCTCCACTGTTTCCAAAAACTGTCTGCATTAGTTCTGGTTCCTGAGCAGGACTTCCTGTACCATCTCACACATGGTGTTGGGAGAGACTTTGCGCCTTAAGGTTCTCAATGTTTCATTAACTGGAAAAGAGGCCTTTCATATATTTTATCCTTTCCTGGTTGTTCATTCCTGACTATATTTGCAAACCTATTTATGTCATAGACCGAGGCTTCTAAATTTGTTTCCATTTTGTCTCTTAGGATCTTTATGGTTTTGGATTTTACCCTTAGGTTTCTAATCCACTTTGACTTTGTTATTGTATATGTTGTAAGATGTGGATCCTGTCTCAGTTTTCTGCAGGTAGATGTCCAGTTTTGCCAGCACCATTTATCAAAGAATCTGTTGTTTCTCCGTTTTATAGGTTTTACTACCTTGTCAAATATCAGGTGACCATAGGTTGATTGTTTGGTTTCTGGATTCATGATTCTATTCCATGGATCTGTGTATCTGTTCTTGTACTAAACACTGTATTGTTTTGATTACTATGGCTATGTAGTAGATTTTGAAATTAGGGAGTGAGATTCCCCGTACTTCACTTATGCTTTTCAGAAGAGCTTTGTTTTTTCTGGGTCTCTTTCCTTTTCAAATGTAACTGGAAATTGTCTTTTGTATTTCCTGGAAGAATGAATTTGTTATCTGTATTGAGATGGCGTTGAACTTGTAGATCACTTTTGGTAGGATTGTCGTTTTCACAGTATTCAGTCTTCCTATCCATGAACAGGAAATATTTTTCTTGAAAAAGAAAAGAACTTTGTTGAATTTTTTTTATGTATGTGTGTTTTAATATATTACTGTGGTTTGTTGGAAGCAGGAGTGGTGTCCACTTCTAAATAACATGCCACTGTAAACCCTGTGAACGTTGATAAATGTTGATAGTTGTAGAGAGGCTTCAGTACTTTCGTTCATAGGTTCATTATGAGTAGTGCTCCACTCGAAGGCAATCAGCAACAACAGTTGTGGTTTGAGTAAAAGTGTACAAAGCAAATCAGTTTGCCATTCAATAGTTTATATACATTTTGTATCATGAGATTATTTGGAATCCCCTTAATGTTTTCCCCCCCTTGCTCCTTAGAGGGAGGTTCATCTTCCAGTACTATATTGGATAGTATACTATTGGGTTCCATAGCAAATTTCTGAAAGTTGAATACCAGGCCTTTAGTCTGCCTTAGTATGGAAGTTCTGCTAAAACTTTTATACCCTGCATGACCATGCTGATAAATTGGAAGCCAATAAAAATACAAAGTGGCTACAACAATGAACTGAAACCCACTAAAGAATGACAATGACAGCTAGGACAGGACCTTAGTTTGTTCTTTTGTCACTGTGAGTGGGAGTTAAGTCAGTGGCAACTAAAAATTATATTTGGTGTTATTATTGCTCATAACAGATGCTATAAAAAACAGAACTCTAACTTTTAAAGCTTTAATCATCAAGAGAATGCCAAAAAGCTCTAAATAATTTTTTTAAAGCACTAAATAAACATTCTCCCTTTTCCCCTATTAAATATTTACCTCAGTGGTTCTCAGCCTTGACTGCATAGTGGAATGACCCGAAGATTTTACAAAATACTAATGTGTAGGTACTACCAGAGATTCTGATTTAATTGGCCCACAAATCTGTTTTCCGTATGTTTGCTATGAGTCTTAGGCAACTTGAAGACACAACAACAGTGGAAGCCATGTTCTTTTCAGTTGTTTCCAATGTGTCTGAAAGGTGGACAATAAATAAGGACAGAAAAATAATCTCTGCCTCAAGACTTTAGATGATAGTGTTGGGTTGTTCCTCTTCCGAAGCTGTGTATAAGTATTCAAAATGGTCTAGCATCTCACTTAAGGTACCTTACAATACAGCGACTGATAAAACTAGTCTGTCCTGAAACCCCAGTAATAAAATGATTTCCATTTGTACCAAGAAGGGTTGGAAAGCACCAAAATCTGCATGTGATGTGTGTCCATGCCAACTAAGAGCAGTTCATGCTGGAAGACCTGAAGTCATAAAAAAAATAAATCCCAAAACATGCCAACAGAGCTTATGGTGGTTCCAAGTGTGCTAAATGTGTCAGTGAGAGCTTGAAGTGTGTTTTCCTTATTGAGGAGCAGAAAATAGTTGTTAAAGTATGGATGATGTTTCTTTAATTTAAAAAAAAATCACATGCTTTGTTCTGTGTTAACAACAACAGCAGCAGCAGCAAAAATATATTGAAGACGAGTTCTAGACTATCACATATATTGCCAAAAGATAAACACGTTTGGTTGTAGGAAATGCAACCAGGGTGCTCTGTACAGGCAAGGACGGTGAAATTTTGTTTCACATACTTGGGGCTTATTGCCAGGAGAGGCCAGTGCTTGGAAAGAGACATCATGGTGGATGCTCAGTTTAAGACTCAACAAAATGTATTGACACAGTGATGTAACAGTGGTCTTGAGTATATCAGATGATGAAGATCTTGCAGGATAGGGTAAGGTTCTGATGTGTTGTTCCTAGGGTTGTTTTAAGTAGTAATGGACTCGATGGCACATAACAGTAACATGGAAGATGCATTAAGAACTTTCAAAATCCTCAGATGTTAGACCTAAATGTGTAGCTGCAGTTGAGAACCGGTGCTGTAATTCAATTATAGAATCAGGTATCTGTCAACATAAAAATATGGGCAGGGTGGGAGAGTGAAGGAATTAGGAAAGATCCGGTGTGAGAAACAATGTATTCGAACTCTGTAAATAAATGAGTATAAAAAATATTTTTAAAAAGGAGAAAAAAAAATATGTGCAGATGTTGGAACTGGTACCAACGTCACATCTTATATAATGAAAGAGTTTGGGGAAACCGCATGAGTTACTTAATAATATGGACAATTCTACAAAATATGATGGTAAGTGAAATAAGCCAAAAGAGTTTTGTATGATTGCATTACCATAACATTCGTTTTAAAAATCAGAGAACTGGTGTTCGAGTGTGATTGGGAAGCGGCAGGAAATAACTTCCTGGAAGGAAGAATAAACTTGAGAAGAACGGTTGAGACCTGTGCTAGTGTTTTCTCAAAATGTAAATTATACCTCAATAAAAAAAGCATGAACAAATGAAGCCTAATTAACAAATCTTGCTAAATGTGACCAGGTGGAGAAGGGGTGTATTTATTTTAGACGGCCCCCACTAGATTAAACAGAACAGCAAATATCGGGGCAAAACCAGTGAGCATGGGAGCCCACAGCAGGTGTAGACAAAGATTAAGAAATCTGAAAGAAAGCAAGCGAATCGCTCGCGAGCTGGAATCTGAGTACCACCTGACGTCACAGCTGCGGACCGGGTGTGCAATGACACGGTAAGTCCCGCCTCTTCCTCCGGCGGGCCTGTTCCCTCGTGACCCAGCGGAAGGGGCTTGAGGAGAACAGAATCACCGTGAGAAAGAAGTCGGAGGCCGCTTGGGTTCCTTGCGGATGCCCGGCGTGTAGGCGCCGCTTGCCGTCGGCTGGTTGCGGACAACGGTGAGGAAGACCACGGCTCGCCTTCGCTCGCCTGCCACCGCTATGATTCCGATGTCGCTGGTGGTGGTGGTGGTGGGCGGTTGGACTGCCGTCTACCTGACCGACTTGGTGCTGAAGGTGAGGGCATCGGTCCCGAGGTCTAAGTGCGCAGGGTCCCTGGGTAGCAGGCGTTTGTCGGGGGCTTTTTTTTTTTAATTTTTTTTTCGGGGGCTGGAAGCAGCGGCCGGTGGCCCACGTGCGGCCTTCGGCGGGTGTGGTTCGTGTGGTAAATGGAGCAAGGTCCGTAGCGGGAGAGGTGTGGTGGCCAGTGTGGCTTTTGCCAGATCCTGCTTGTTGTTTGTTGTGGCGTGCGGTCGAGGTCGAGTCGGAACCGACCCACAGCCGACCCTACGGCGGGTTTTCCGAGGCAGTTAATTGCACGAGATTAACGAGTTAATTGCACATCCTTCTCCCGCGGGGCGGCCAGTGGCCTCGAACTGCGTGACTTCGCAGCAGCTTCTTAGCCCGGGAGTTCTCAAGGGTCGGCCAGGTGGGTGCTTTTGGCGAACTCCGGAGGGCTAAGGCTCTGCCACACTTGGAGTCATCGTGGAGGAAAACGAAACGTTTGTTAAGTAAAGGCATCGTTTTCCTTCTTTGTCTTAGGGTCGCGATGCTCTCTACGCACTCTTGGTGGAGTTAATCTGACCCAAGTGATTTCTTTGGTGCAGTGGTTTCTAACTTGAATATGTTAAGTACTGTCGAGTCGGAACCAAGCCATAGCCGACCCTCCGGCGGGTTTTTAGAAGCAGTTAATCTAACGCGAACAGGTCATTTAGGCTTACGGTTAAAAGCATTTTCTGGGATTGGAAACTAAAATTTTTCCTTTTCTACTAGTTCCCAAGTGGTAGCCCTCAGACTATACTTAATTAAGTACCAAGGATTTAGCTAACTAGTTTCTGATGATTTAAACTTCTAAGTTTGTGCACCCTGCATCTGAAACTCACTTTTTTTCTCGCCCGCAGGTTTGTTTTGTTTAATTTTATTCTGTTTTTGTGTGTGTACCGTCATACCGAATTTGACCGGTATAGGAGATTGTCCCTCCTCCAGCAGAGCATCTAGTGGATTCAAACGGCATAGCTTGGGGATTGCAGTGCAGCTTCTTGCCACTAGGCCACCAGAGCTCCCTTGCCCGCTCTTTCTTGTGCCGGTTCGCACATGCTCCAAGCAAGCTTCTGGGGTCATATGCGGGTGTATGCAAATCTTATTTTCTCTATTATTTAGTACACATTCCAATTTGAAAAAGTGCAGTCATGGGAATAACTTTAAATGTACTATAGCTTGGCACCGTGTATTTTTAATTAAAGGTCTAATGAGGTGACACTTATGCTTGTTTTATTGCCTTTGAACTTGTAAAGTGCAGGAGATTTTACAGTGTGAGTCTTTAAAGCTTGGCCTGGACTCTGCCACTGCCTAGTCACTGGAATTTTGGGCAAATTACTCTCGGTCAATTTTCTTTTCTTTAAAACAGGAGCAATTAATACTAAAAATCGCCTTATATTGTAGAGGATTACATTACTTTATCCACATAATGCCTTGCTGCTTGAAGTTCAAGGACTAGTAGTTTTGCTTCATCTGGGAGTTTAATGAAAATATTGAGCTTTGAAATGCCTTACCTCTAAGTTGGAAATGTGGAAAAAAATCCAAAATAGAAAGGACTTTATAAACCTTTGGGACAATCAGAACATCTCTTTGATTTCAGTGTCAGCCCCTGATCTGAAAAGCGCAATAGTCTGTTCTGTAAACATTCTTAAAATATTTTTTAAACTGCTTTAGTTCCGGTGTGATCTGTCTTTTCACCCCTCATTATTCTAGGATTTCCTTAGTAGACATCTAATGAGGACATTCTCTTTTTTTTTAACTCTCAGAGAGCAAGCAGATTTACTATGCAGCAAAGAGGAAGGCACACTGGGTAGGGAGGAAAATATGCGACAATGAATGATTGGAAAGCCAATTTTTCTGTAAATTTTCATTAAAATCACAAAGGAAAAATTATTTAAAAAAAGAAAGTTTTACACGTCAGGAGACTGAGGGCAGAAAACATAGATTATAGTTCTAAAGGCAAACTAACACTTATATTCAGACTTAGGTTTGTTGTGGGTTTATTTTTTTTTTTTGCAGTCTGTGATGGTTTTTATTGAAATATTTTATCTGAAGGTACACAAAAATTACTTTTACCATGTGACTCTGAAATACCAACTCTACTGCCTCCCAATAAAGAGTCAGTAATGACTTTTGAAATACTACGTAATCAAAGTCATCAGTGAAAAACAGTATCAAGTGAGGCTCCCTGAGCACTTATGACCAATCCATTGTAAACAAATACCAACCTTAAAACCAAACTCCAGCAGTGGTGGTGTTAAACCGAGAACAGAAAACAAAGTATGACAGGGGTCCACCAAAGGGATAAGAAGGAAAGCTGACTTCATATTACAGGTCGACACACAGAAATGAATCCTGCCGTTCCTTTCCGTGCATATGCTTAGATTTCTTATACCCATAACGGAAAGCTCAGCTTCAAAAATAAGCGCTTTAGAAAAATAGATTGAAAAGGTCTGATAATCAACTCTCAAATTTTATGCTTAATTTTTCCACTTTTCTCAGTTTCCTAGTATATTTTAAGTGTAAGCAGGTAAATCTTCTCTGTAAATTGCATGCTTGGAAATCTAGACAGATCTTGAAGAACCCCAGCAGGTTACATGTAGCCCATGTTGATTTTGGTTTCCCATCTCTTCTTAGCTTCAAATCCCCATGCAAGTTTCTTCTTTTTTCGAACAACCTGCGAGTTTTCAGCATTATTTTTGGCTTTTACAAAGTTGTGACAGGCAATAGCTTTGGTAATTTTCACGCCAAGCTCTCAAGTAGCAAGCTGGTTACTGAGCTCCTCAGCCTTCTCAATATTCCACTCATCCAAAGCCTGGTCTATTTTCTTTTCAAGACCCAGCTTGTCAATCTTTTTCTTTTTCACAGGGGAGTCATAGCGATCATTGACTCCAAAATACTGAGTAAGCTCCTTCTACTGGGCTTCATTTGGGGACTGTTCACTATGAGTTGCTTCTTCATTCTTCAGTTTACCTTTCCTACAGCCTCTTCCTCATCTCCGCCTAAAGCCTGAGGCTGAGGTTTTCTGTTTTCAATTTTTTTTCTGTTGTTCTTGAAATTTATTCCACATGTTTAAGGAAATTCCAGAAGGGCACTTTTGAAGGGCATTTACACTTGCCTCTGTTTCTAGTTTTGGTCCATTTGTTGGGAAATCAGAGGTTTCTGTTTTTCTGGTCACTTTGATTCTCAGCTTCCTGTGAGGGAAGTGCAGAGTTTTCTGGAATGGCTTCATCTTTGGAATTCTAGTCAACATCACTTTCATTTAGGCCAGGAGGCAGTAGTCCACTTGACATCTCGCCCCGGAACCATCCGCCCGGCAGCCATCTTAGGACCCTCAGACTTAGGTTCTTTTAAAATGACTAATAGGCTTGGTATATCCTTCTAGAGACAAGTAAGTGGTTGACTGGGCACCAGGAAGACAGAAAACTTAGTATACATGCTCAAACTGGAAACAGGGATCAGCGTCCAGTTATCGAAAACCCTATGTTAGTCGCAGAGCTCCGACTCTCCAGAAGCTAAAACCTTTATTAGGGCTGCATGTAAGCAGCTATGCTCCTAGCAATGGATATTTTTAGAGCGAAGTCATGAGGACAAAGATACGTTCAGAAGTATTATAACATGATTAAAGTCTGCCTAATTTATTTGGGTTGTTGCTTAGAAGTTGAAAGCACTAATTCCTAACTTGACCCTTCTGTTCCACTGGTTGGGAACTTTTTTAAATTTCAATACAAAGTTCCTTTTTTCCTGGTAACAAGGTTTCTAGACCTGTGCTGTGCAGTCATGTAGCTCCTGAGCACTTGAAATGTAGCTTGCCTGAATTGAGAAGTACTATATAAGTATTAAATTTACCCCTATGTATAAAACTTGGTTGCTCTTGGTATGTGCGACACACAGAAAATGCAGTGAATGGCCTCAATTGGCCTCATATGTTGATATGGTAGTATCTAGGGAGTTGATGCAAAAAAAAACCCCCAACCAAACCCAATTATTAATTAAAATTAATCTCAACTATCCTGTTTCTTTTTTAGAATATAACCACAAGAAATAAATTACATAGGTGGTTTGTACTAGGTTCCTGATGGATGGTTTTGTTCTAAGCTAGATGGACAAACTGTTTCTATAAATATTTTTGGTTTTGTGAGCCATTAAGCAATTGTCACTACTACATATTCTTAGATTGTTAGTTAGGTTTGATGTCTTTTTACTTTTAAATGTAAGAACTGAGTGAAAATGTCAGCGGCCATCGACCCCCGAGACCCATGCTAGGGACAGACAGCAAAGGTTTTCCAAAGGCTTGTCATAGGTGCCCTTAAAAATGGTTCTCATTCATGGTTCTCAACATGGTTGTCAGTTTGCAGAAACCCTGATTTGGGGTCTGTAGCCCTCTCAACCAGTGCCAAACCAGTGGTGAAGCCTGAAGCGAACTCTGTGGACAGTGGAGTGGTTGTCCCCCAGTTCACGAACTGGAATCCACAGAATCTGGAGATCTTGGCTGTGGCCAGGAAAGAGCAGGGCTTGTGGGACCCTGTGGCACAGGTTGTGAGTTATAAGTACTCAGCATCTAAGTGGCAAAATTGTGGTTTCAGCATCCACTTGTGAATGGGCTATTAAAAATCACCTTTATAGGACTGCAAATATGGTGGTATGCTTAGGACAAGTATTAGCAGAGTGATGCTTACAGGCAAGAATCAACTTCATGGTCTACCAGCCCACCCCTGGGAGAGTGCAACCTCAGAATGAATCAGATGACTACAAAATGCTATGACAGAAGGTGGTGTCATGCTACTGGAACCTCAGAGAATCTATCAGTAAACTGATTGCTTTGAATTTGCCAATAAAAATGATGAGCTCTTATATCCATCAGAAGAAAACTTCTAGACAAAAAAGAGCTTGGGAACTTTTTAACAGTAATCTGATAGTACTGTACTCTGAAGTAAAGCTCACTTCTCCTACCCTTTTGTATTTCTTTGCTTGCTTTTTATCTGAGGACTGGATTCTTCTTCCTTCTTGGACATGAGAGTAGTATCTGAGAAAAGTTGTCAGCTATTTTTATTAACTCTTACGGGACAAATTAAGATTATGTTTTATTTATTTGTTTTTAATTTAAAGAACAGTGGCATGCTGAAACTAACTCCTAAAAAAATATGTAAAAACCATCCTTAGCTCACAGGCTGTATAAAAATGGGCTGTAGGCTAGACTTGGCTAATGGGCTGTGGTTTGCTAAACTCTATCCTGAGCAAATTAATTTAACCTAAGACCCTCTCTATAAGACCCTCAAGAATGAACAGAAAACTGTTAAGAATATAAGTATCTGAACAGTCTTGATTACCTATAGAAAATACTTCTTTTGCTTCTTTAAAACATTACCAATTCTTCAAAACTGAATGATGTCTAACTCTTTTTCTCTTTTAGTCATCCATCTACTTTAAGCGTTCTTATGAAGACTGGCTAGAAAACAATGGTGTGACCATCTCTCCTTTTCACATAAGATGGCAAACTGCTGTTTTTAATCGAGTGTTTTACAGTTGGGGACGACGGAAAGCGAGGATGCTTTACCAATGGTATTTATCTTCTCATTTTACTTTAAAATAGTTACTGTGATGTTGAGTTAACTTAATTTTCAAACTGTTTGGCTGTTGAGTTTCGGCTAGCAGTCCAGCATGCTTGCCTGTGCCCCTTAGAGCTTATGTCAGTCTACAGAGTTTTAAAAGATTAACTGTAAAGAAAGAAATTTCTAGTTTTATAGTTCTTAAATAAATTTTATCATTGTGATTTTGCATGGATTATAAATCAAAGATTTTGGGGAAAAATATATAAACATTGTAATTAAACCAGTATGAAATAATTTTTTTTAAAAAATGGAAGATTTTATAGTGTTTCTGTTGTTGTTAAGTGCATTCAAGTACAATTCATAGACTCTATATACAGCTGTTCTGAACCTTGTCCTATCCTGTACCATCCTTATCTCTGACCCACTTAAGCCCATTGCAGCAATTGTAGGTTATTAAAATGATGTCTTTTAAAATAGAAATAAGATGATCTCTGGAAAAGATAACACCATCATGTTCTATGGTTAAGATGATTTCTGGTATGTTGTTGTTAGGTGCCTCTGGGTCAGCTCTGAATAATATGTGTATACCTATGACAAAATAAAACCATGCTTGATGCGTGCTCTCTCACAGTCTCTGCTTAAGCCCATGGTTACACTCACTGTGTTGATCTATCTCATTGAAGGTCTTCCTCTCCTTTGGTGGCCCTCTACTTTTCCAAGCGTAATTTTTTTTCCAAGGGCTCACTCCTCCTGATAACATGATCAAACTACTTAAGATGAAATGTCACTATCCTTGCTTCCAAGGCATGTTCTTTGTTCTTTTTGTCATTGCATGATACAGTCCTTATTCCAAAGCATCACAATAGTTGAAAGGCATCAATTCTTTGTTCTTTTTTCACTCTCCTGCATTCATATGCATATGAAACAATTGAAAATCCCAAGGCTTGGGTCTGGTACACCTTCATCTTTAAACCAACATCGTTGCTCAGGAGCTTTTTTTTTAAAAAAAAGTACTCATTTATTAACAAACTTCATAAACATTGCTTTTTACACTGTATCGTTCCCATTTCCTTCACAGATATGCTTCCACCCATTAGATTGTGTGACCTGACTCTGTGACTCTCGTCCTCACCCGTCTATTTCTACTCTTCCCCCAGTCTTAAATCTTCATACTAATTCTACTAAAATGGTCTTATGCAGTATTTGACCTTGTGGGACTGATTTAGTTCACTCAACTTAATCCTCCCCAGTTAGGTAGTAATTTATAAAATCGTTGTTCCGGCACGCTGTTTAGTAGTCTAGGATAGGAATGTACCCTAATTTCTCAATCCATTCGATTGTGGTCGGACATTTGGGCCGTTGCTCTGTTCTTTTGATGGTGAATAACACTTCTGTGAATATTGATGTACAAGTCTCCATTTGTGCCAAAATTCTCATTCTCTTGGGGTATATTCCAAGAAATGGAATAGCTGGATCATCTGGAATTTCTATGTTCAACTTTTTGAGGAAGCACCAAACTGCCTTCCAGAGTACTTGTACAATTTTACAGTCGCACCAACAGTGTATAAGAGATCCTGCCTCTACATATCCTCTCCAACATTTATTACTTGCTGTCCCGTTTAGCTTTACCACTGCTACTGGTCTGAAAACCCTATGTACAACAGAACACATTTAGATAACAGAAAAAGGCAAAGGAGGTTG